TGGAATTTGAATATAATAATGCATTTAAAAGTTAATGGCTAAACATATCTTTGCAAAAGTTCACAATGCTGCTGCAGATGCAATATAATGTGGACAACATTGAATAAATACATTTTCGTCAGGTTAGATACTGATAATTAATCACTCAAACCCCTTTATCTAAACCTGCCTACATAACCGTCGGACTCGCGCGTCCTCCATGTCTGTAGTTTTTGAACACTTTTCATTCGTGTTTGTAGTTCTAACCGAATCCTCGTCCAACGCGCGATGGGTTGTGGGCAATATCAGCCATTAGAGTGCGCATCGATCTGCACTTCGGATTCTGACCGGATATAGTAGACCATCCGGGTCTCTTTGGGACACTCATTTCAACATACTACGATTTGGGACGTACTAATTCTATTTTCGAATACTATTTAGGACGGATAGTATGCGAATTGGGACGCAGCATCGGTCTCTCTCGCGCACTGGGGCTCATGGAGGCACGTGATCAGACAGTGGTTTACGGAGCGCTAGATTGGCTTTGCAAAAAAAAAACGATGATACGGAGCGTTCTGTGAACGGAATGACGCATTTTAAATATCGCTCGATCACGCGAATTTGATCGCGGGAAGCCAAAATCGTGATTAAAATTCGATTTATCGTGCAGCCCTAAACAAAAGTCAAAATTCAATCTGTTCATCATATAAAGCGATTGTCTCTCTTCAGAAAATTTGGACTAAACCGCTCAATTCATATGGATTATTTTTACGATCTCTTTATGAACTTTTTGAAGATTTTCGAAAGTAGGTGCGTTGACTGTCAATGGAGGGACAGAAAGCTTTCAGATTTCATCAAAAAGATCTTCATTTGTGTTCCGAAGATGAACGAAAGTCTTGTGGGTTTGGAATGACATGAGGATGAGTAATTAATTAAATAAAACATACTGAACAACAGTATATTAAATGTCTTTATTGACATATTCATTTCACCAAATTAATGAAATGTTAATGGTCATAATGTTGACTCAAAGTTTGCAACAACAAGACCTATTCATTTTCCAAACGTTGGTGCGTGTGGAACAGTTCTCGCATTAAGCTACCAAAAACAAAATCATTAGGAAGGAACTAGGCTAGATTACAAGGTGCAGTTTCACAGCCCCTTTCACACAGCGCTTTGAACCCGGCAAATTGCCGGCAAATTGCCAGAGTGCCTTCTGTGTGAACGCAAACACGACCCGGGACTGATGCCGGGTTGGGGACCTAGTAACATTGCCGTGTTCAAACCCGGAACGCACGCTGTGTGAACAAAAGCCAGAACCAATGCCGTGTCGTAATGATGACGCTGAAGTGAAGTGAAAGCAGGCTAGTGAAACGGTACGTAATGCGCTAGTTTATGATCGAATCAGAGAAAAAAATGCACAAGCGTGGTTTCTCCAGAGAGAAATCGCAGCTCATAAGCAAACTATACACGTTGCTGAGACATTACATGTCACGTGTCTTTCCGGAACATACACGGGTTGTGTGTGAACGCGCTCTCTGATTCCGGCAAATCACTGGCGGTGTGAATGAAGCAAAATCAAACGAACCCGGGTCAAATCCCGGGTCGCTTTATCCGTGTATTTTCCGGAATCTCTGTGTGAAAGGGGCGTCTACGCTCATCTCACTCTTGTATAGGCTAACTGCAAGTGATACAATGACTTGAGCCCCTTTCACACAGAGATTCGGGAAAATATACGGATAAAGTGACCCCGGATTTGACCCAGGTTCGTTTGATTTTGCTTCATTCACACTGCCAGTGATTTGCCAGAATCAGAGAGCGCGTTCACAAGCCATGTATGTTCCGGAAAGACACGTGACGTTGGATGTGACGGGTCTCTACTTCAGTCCAGTTTGCAGACATTTTTTCGTTCTTTCTTGTATCGATGTCGATGACGAACACAAACTTTCTTCTAGAGTAACTGAGCCGCACGATAACTACGTCATTGCAAAGGCTCGTGAATCATCACTACGACACACCCCTTATACGGCATTGGTTCTGGCTTTTGTTCACACAGCGTGCGTTCCGGGTCTGAACACGGCAATGTTACTAGGTCCCCAACCCGGCATCGATCCCGGCATCAATCCCGGGTCGTGTTTGCGTTCACACAGAAGGCACTCTGGCAATTTGCCGGCAATTTGCCGGGTTAAAAGCGCTGTGTGAAAGGGGCTTTGCAATGTTTGTCACACAGCTAAATAACCCAATTGTCATGGACCAAAAATGCATTTAAATAAAATTGCAGAATGCAAACAACAGTAAAGTTTCTCAATTCATCGGTCACTGGCAGATTGGATCCTGTTGGACCCTGGGTTCAAAACACATGGCAGGGCATTACCAATACACAATAACCTGTCTATCACATGACGCTCTTTAACAATAAGAACACTCTTCCCTATAATGAACAAACAGCCAGAAAACAAACAATCTTGCATGCTAGTGGAAGCTGTGTTCTAGCCTGTAAAGAGAAGTGTTATTTCCACACATAAACTCTTTAGCACAAGTTGCGAATTACATCTTTGAGCCACCAGCCCTATTCAGGTTTTCACACACTAGTATCACTAAGGCAAAGTGCTACAGAAATGCAGTAATAAGTTCATAATATAAATTGTAACCATTTGTAATGACTAACTTTCACACGATGTGTCAAAGTCAGATGCCAGTTGACTATTAAAACACAATTTTTCCCACAGTTTCAACACAAAACACAGTTTGTTGTTGTTGTTGTCTTTTTCAGTGAGAGCAAGCAAAGTACACATTTGTACACATTTATGTGGAAACGGCTCATCATGTGAATAATCTAACCCGTTAATAGCCATCCTTGACACTGCGAGCTACTTTTACCTTATTGTTCTGCAAATAAGTTTAGGCCTTGTTTTGATTGTCTGCAAGGATTTCCCCGCTCTGATTTTCACTGCTTGTGGGATCATTCCCTTTTCCAAAACAAGCAGTATTACACAAGCTTCTTCTCTTGCATCATGTATTTGTGCAATAGATAGTATGAAAAAGGGAACAAACGCATGTTACACAACCAATTGACACATTCAAAGCAAGTAGAGAAGCATTCAGATAGGGCAACTGGAATATGTTTGAGAGGACACAAGAAGTTGTGGGTGTCCTCAAGCTCAGTACACGAGACAGAGAGGGCCGGGAACAGATTACGTCTGACCAATAGCAGAATAAGGAGAAGGGCAGAACTTAAAGTCAGGCAACATTAAGGGTTTGACAAGCAGAATCACAGACGCAGCACAATTTGCCCAGTGTTACAGTGTTTGTATGCGTACTTTCATTTGTGCAATGTGTGTAACACAAGTTCATGTGAAATTTGACCACAACAGCAAAGGTATCTTCAGTACCATCTCAAAAAAAATAAACATACAAAGTCAAAATTTGTATGGAATATTGCAGTATTTATAATCCGTCGGGCACATGATCTTTTTTTATTTATTTTTTATGTGCCCTCCTAATCTTTAATCAAAATAACTTCCCCTCTAATTTGCAACATCATCTGAAGGCAAAACAATGTCACTCACATGAAATCACAGCAAGAGCAAACCACGACCATCCAATCAATTCCCATTGGATAAAATCAAGCCCCGCCCCTAATTTATTTCTTTTTTTGTTCGAGAAGCTGTTTCACTCGGATACAGTATGTCACAATAGGCAAGAAAAGACTATCACAACTTCCTTTTCATGAACACTTTGCCTGTGTTTAAGGCAACTTTTTTATGACCTTCCCTTGCTAACTTCCCTCTGTCTTGTTCACGCAGATATGTCATTGCTTGCACAAGTGCCCACTACTGAGGGAACCCTTGTAATGTTGAAATGGGGACACCCTAAGCCCTTGACCACTTGGAATCTGCTATGGGAGTTGCTGTTGTGACGTCACAATCATGTTGCATTGTGGTCTATGGACCTGCCTGAAGTGTACATAGACTTACTTACTTCCTCAGTCAAAATCAAAGGATTGAGGGTCTTTCCAAATGAACTTCCCTTCCCAACTTCCCAAATTAAAGCCCAGTAGTTGACAAAATGAGAGGATAGGATACCCAGACAGCAGCATAGTGTCGGCCCAGATCCGGGCCACATCTGGTATGTGGATTCAACGGCAACGCATACCAGATGTGGGCCAGATCTGGGCCGACACTATGCTGCTGTCTGGGTAAATGATAGATCTGCTTTATTGTTAAAGGATGGCTAGGAAGTCCGATTCATTGGCGCAAATCGGTTCTTTTAAACAATTCATTTCAAAGAAATAGTTTTATAACGATTCAGCAGTTATGTCTGTACGTGATTACGCCATCACGTGGTCCAAATTACACTTTAACACATTTTAATAAGGCCACAAAGATATATTCTTGGTTATGATTTTTGCTTAAGTTCTGTTAAAAAAGGTGTAATTGGTGTCCCAATTCAGTCTGTTGCATCCATTCAAGTCATTTAGAAACTACATTTACTTTGCATTTACATTACACAACACTAACATTCACTTACCGTACACCTGGCTAAGGTGACAAGAAAAGTTATTTAAAGAAAAGTAGGTTAACCTACTTTAAAATTACTTAAATAATTATATAATTAAAAGAAAAAAGAACTCGTTTCGTATGCTTGTTGATAAATACAATTGAGTCATACTCTTGTTTACTATACATGTTGTACAGTCTGTGTTTCCTGAAAACATTGTAAACCTAAACTGGGTCCAATGGTTTCCAAGATATAGGGTTACGATTCTTACGAATCATTTTAGAAAACGCGCAACCCAGACCGGTTCAACTGATTCATCAAACAGATCCGATTCAAAAGAATGATTCGCTCACGAATAGGACAACAACACACACCAACCAAACTGATGTAAAAAAAACACAAGGCCTAATCCAAAACACTCATACACAAACACTGAACATACAATGTACTCAATTTCTAACTAAAGTTACAGAAATAGGAAACCGTAGTAAGAATTGTTCAATATGAAATATGAACCTTACCTTTCGCGTGACAATCAGCGCAAAACTTGTTTTCCTCTGATGCGAGAAGAGATGTGAGAACAGCCTGATAGCGGTCAATGTCTTTGACTGATTTACCCGTCATCTTCAGAAATCAGTATCTCACTAATCGACCTGATAGTCCAAAGCCGCTGAGAAGATGTTCAGATGTTTGTCCGTTAATGAAACACCGGGAAGCGGATCGCTGACAGGCTGCTGCAGATGAAGAGAGAGAAAACACTACAGTACTGCTGGCTTCCGCTAATCTTACCAGGAAGAGGAAAAAGCTGTGAACCACGGATCATATAGAAACACCATATTCCCCTCTGTACATTCGCTGGTCCTTGACACCCAACTTTCCACCCGCAGTATCAGAGACACATCGAGCACGTTCACGCGCGCGGCGCTAACAGTTACCGTTACACTTCAGTATTACCCATGAGTCACCGCTCTGCCTCTGTTGTGTCTGCTGGTGGTCGACAGACGTGCTGTAAAAAAATTACTATCTAAAAGATATAGACTAAATCCAGCATCAGAAGGACAATTGCGGTCGTGATGTTCGCCGTTCAGAGATGTGAATTACAACACCTTTGTGTAATTTCTAGAAAATGTGATATTGCGCCCCCCTGCGGGGAAAGCAACACTGCGCACATCCGATTGATCAACATCCATTCATGTCCGTCTTGTCACACAGAAAATATGTTTTAAGGACGGTATCTTTGTAACTATAAGGTTTTGAGTCAAAAATACAATTATACAAAGATGTGATTTCCATAGCAGTGGTTTTGTATTGGTTTTAAACAACTGGTTTGAAATATCACATTAGTTTAGTAAGTTACAGCCTAGCTGTGAGCACGAAAACCACACCGATGGGCTACACGCAGGCAAGAATCGACTATGATAAAGGTAGGCCTATATTTTAGCCAAAAGGTTGAAATGTGTTCTCAGTTAGGAGGATGCGGAGTATTTTTCATACCAAGGGAACTTTCCACATAAAAACTAATTCAAACCATTAATATCCTAAATATAATAGTAGGCCTAGATATAATATAATACTATTGTCACAAGAATGCGTTTGGACTGTAATGAATAACTTTGACTTTAAGGTATGCCCATTCAGAAATGTATTTATTAAAACATAAGTCCACCCTGAGACCCTGTTTTTGGACACTTTCTGGTCACTTTAGACTTTGTGAAACATGATGTCTGTAGTCGATGAACTATACACGGTTGGCCTCTACACCAGTGTGAACTGAAGGAGACCTGCTTCACACATCCTTTAAAAATGTATTATCTTGAGGCCATTTAGCTAAATGTCATTACAAAAATGCCCAAGAAAAGTTGCTGGTGTTATACATTTTGGAGTTACATTCCAAGCCTCCTATTTATTATGCCTCAAAAACAAACATTCCTGCGTCCAGAAGCTCCACAGACCGTCCACTAAATCAACATCATGATGTCCTGCGTACATATTCAACAATCTACAGTATTGAGGTATTCAGTAATGGGGGCGTGAGAAAGTTAGCTCTCTGGAGCTCTGTTGTCTGCATGTTCAATCATCAGAAGTCTCCGCCTCCTGCGCGGGCGATGGCTTCTCAGGTCTGTCCGGTCCTCAGTGTGTTCTCTGGGTTCTCTGAGCTCCCTGAGTTCTCAGGGGCTGGCTGTAGGGCTGGGTTACACCTCTCTCAATCCTCCCCTCAGGTCCCTGCACACTGTGTTTTTCTTCCCTGTCCTGGGCAGCGCACACACTCACATACACACACCTTTCTTTTTCCCTGGATCCACCATCCTGGGCTGAGAAGCCAGGAGAGAGGGTGGCAAGGTTTGGAGAAACCGTTGGGACGATAGTGAATCTTCACCATGGCTAGATTCTTCATGATCTTCAGAAGCTTGGTCCTGTTGCAGGCGCTCTGCTTGGCCTTATCGCAAGTGGTGAGTTTGGCTGCGCTTATCTACTTTTTCTTGATGCTGGATGATCTTGGTTTTGGTGTCAAGTAAGATCATGTATCTTGGAGAACATCTTAAGGATTGAGATATGATTTACTGTGGATTCATTTAGATCAAATTCATTCTATGGTTGACTAGTTTGGTAGGTGACCTGTTTACAGGAAACTTTTGATCCTCAAAGTTGTTCAGTTTCTTTGTGTAATCTTCTAAAAGTTTACCTAAGTGGCTTTATACAGCATGCAGGCCTGGCATTGAGCAATATACTATCCTCAGCAGTGCTATATTTTGATTCTGAAAGCTTAAACAATTCAGTTTTAGTAACTGAAATGAGTAAATGGAGACCCGCTGAATAAAATATGAAGCAGAAAGTGAACATCAGACGAATAAACAGAGAGAGGAGAAGGTAGAAACGGAGATATTACAAAGAGCCCATTGAAAATACACTGAAGCTGCTATTCAAACAGACATAGAATTACACATACTTGTTACAATTTAGATGAACCACCTCAGAGAAAAATGCATGCATGAAGCTCATATGCAATAAAATGCAATGGACCCAATGAATGTGTACTTATTTTGAATCCACCATCTTATAAACTCATGCATTGAAAAACAGATCTATCTTTGATGCTGAATGGGGGAGGGTCTGAGTAAACATTCCCAGCCTCTCTTTTCCCACCCCGGATGCCCTGATCATCTAGCCAAGGACTTTAATTAGGTTTTCATCACAAACCTTGTTCTGTCTATCAAATTTAAGGAAGTAAACATGTCTGAGGCAGTGTTTGCAGTGTCAGCTAAAACTAAGTCATTTTCAGTAAGCTGGAATAAAAGAAGCTGTAAACATATGCTTGAAAAACTGAATAAATGAACTATTTAAAAAAAAAAAAGATGACAAAAGCACATAACAAAATTGCTAAAACATTTGAAAACTGAAAATATAAAAATGATCTAATTAAAAATGTTAATAAATACTATACTACAATAGCATATAAATACTTGTCTGAGGTCACAATTACAGAACAATATAGGCTTTATTTGTTTGTTTATTATCCAAAATTAGACTTATAATTAGACGTATACAAGAGAGATTCAACTAATTTCATTTTTTAATTGTTAACAAATTATTTTATAATAAATTGCTAGGTTTGTGGAAGTGAAATATAGAACGCTGTTTATATTAAAGCGACTGGCGGTGCACATCAATGTAAAGGCTTCAGTATTGATGAAATTAAAAACTCTGTGTTTAATTTTAGACCGGTCCACCTGGACCCCAGGGCCCTCCTGGTCTCCCTGGTCCCGCTGGAACGCCCGGTGCCGACGGCATTGATGTGAGTATTGGAGCCGCTTGGCTGTACCACAGGTCGAGCTGGTACAAAGACAGTCATTGTGCACCTGGTTTCATGGGCCCCGAGTTCATCTGCACTACCAAAATCTTGCCAATAGAGGGCGCACAAAATAAAAATAATCACACAAAAGGGTTCTGTTAGAGGGTTGCCTCTTTCCCATATTGAGAGAGAGAGAGAGCTAGTAGATGTTGGTTATTTGATACGCTTGTGGCCTAGATGGGTTCAGTATAAAGACACTCAGCAGGATATACAACAAGTCCGACTGATACATAGCATAGAAAAAACAGAAACAGGATCCCAGCGTTCTCCCATGAGCTTCTACAAATACTGTAGGATATTTAGATTTTATAGTCATAAATAGTGAAATATGCATAAAGGGAGATATACAGAACTCTGACGCAAAAAATATTTTAAATCTGACTTTATAAAGAGGTCAGGATGGAGGAGGAGCTTGTTTGTGGGTGGAGTTTTACGTACATTCATTTATTTACTTTTTTATATACATTTCTTTGACATTTTATATAGGTCTATGCTAACATGCTAGCTTTTGCAATGGCTGTGAGAATTGAGGTTGAATATTTCAGATTAAGTTATATATTTTATTGTACTCTTGTTTGTTTTTGTTTTTTGCAAAAAGCATTATTATTAATTCCCTGAAATTTTGCTATAGAAGAAACTGGATGATTTTTTTTTGTCTGTTAGGGATTTGTCCCATACTTTATATTGTCACAGTCTCACAGTCCATCTTTGCTACTGTTGTATTTCCCTTTATAGGGTGAGAAGGGTCCTCCTGGACCTCCCGGACCACTAGTAAGTGACTATAAAAGTTGATCATAAATTTGCATTTTATATACTTACATAACCATTTAAAGGTAAAATTAAAAACCTGTTTTATATTTTCATATATATTAAAATGCCATTTATTCCTGTGATAGCAAAGCTGAATTTTCATCATTACTCCAGTCTTCAGTGTCACATGATCCTTCAGAAATCTTTCTAATATGCTGGTTTGCTGCTCAAGAAACATTTATTATTATTATCAATTTTTAAAACAGTTGTGCTAATTAATATCTTTTTTGCAGAAACCATGATGCTTTTTTTCCATGATTCTTTGATGAACAGAAAGTTCAAAAGAACAGCTTTTTTGAAGTCATTCAAGAAGTCATTTTTGATTAATTTGATGCGTCTTTTCTTTAAAATGAAAAATCGTACTGATCCCAAACTTTTGAACGGTAGTGTAGGCTATATGAACAATATTTAAATTTATTGGTAATACTTTATTTTACAGCGTCATTGCAACATTGCAACAAACATATGTTACATGTAGTTACTATAGTAATAACTATAAATTATTCATAATTACATGCAACTAACCCTAAACTAAACCCATATCCTAACCCTATAGTACGTACATGCAGTTACTTAATATTACTCATACTCAGTACTTAAATGTATAATTACAGTGTAACAAAAAAAACCTTAAAATAAAGTGTAACCAATTTATTTAATAAAAATAAATGCATTTAAAACTCAAACTCAAAGAACTGAGTGTATTATACAAGTATTTAAACTTTTTCATGTGTGAATCACTTTACAGGGTCAAAAGGGAGAGGCAGGGGAACCTGGTCCTGATGGATCTCCAGGGGAGGATGGCATTGATGTGAGTGACACCTACAATTCAGGACTGACATATTTATACTATAGCTCAGCCATTAAAAAAAGGCAGTTAAGTTTGTAGTTTGGAGCTAAATCTTGTTTTCAATCAATACATTTGATTCATAATGAATAATGACATTTGAAATCCTGTTCTGATGAAGGTTATTCACACCTACCCTCTGAAAATGTTGGCGTGAGACTGAGAAAAGAGATCTTGGTCCTAATGAGCAAGACTTTCTCAGTCACATGCTAAGAAGCAAACATTCCTTATTGGATTTACCACTTAATCTGTTCTGGAATGCCAGTCCCTGGTTTTCCTCTCTCTGAAATGTTTGTAGTAAGATGTCAATGTATAAAAGTATCTTTAAAAAAGATCTTTACGTATTAAATGTTATGCTTATGAATCAAGTCGTTGCCATTATTTATATAGCGCTTTATACAATACAGATTGTTTCAAAGCAGCAAAATAATGATCAATGTTGCAAACAGAATTCTGCTGTAAAGCAGCTCTAAAAAAAGTTCATCTATAAAGCAGTGATGTCATCATCCAGCTCAGTTCAGTGCATATTGCTGAATATTAAGTGTCCCCAACTAAATCACCTGCTTAACCCGGCCTTTGAATCATATTAGAGGTGTTTACATGATTCTAAATGGTTACTGTTTGATTATTATTCTGAAGGCTTGTTTTCCTCTGTTATCTCTCCAGGGTTTGATTGGTGCTAAGGGTGAGAGGGGTCCTCGTGGTAATCCTGGACCAAAGGTGACGAATTTATATTTTATTTTTCTTCATAGATGCAGCATACACACAATCTACTCTATTCTAGTGTGCAATCAGTTGGCCAACCAACACACAATACAAACACACACAACATATCTTTAAATGTTGGAAAGATGATAATAGAGGACAATGACTGAAAAGAATATCATGAATAATGAATGTCATGTATGCATTCTGAGGGTGTTATGAATAATATATCGTCGTTGTTAGTCTAAAATTGTGTAAAGAATGGAACACATCTAATTCCACATGACGTTTTATTGATTTTCACAGGGTCAGCCAGGGCCGGGTGGACCACCAGGGCGACCTGTAAGTATAAAAAAATATGTAAGGAATTTGTTGAACAAAAATAATGCTGCGAGTCCACCACTTGCAGTTTCTCAAACTATTCGACAGGTGACGCTGTAGTACACAAAACAGTAACATTTCCGACCTGATTTTTGATGTTTGAGTATTTCTACAGACACAATGTGCTGTATTCCAGTGCTAATGGACTACAATCAAGCTCTGTTGCTAATCATTTTTTTTTTTTTTTTTTTTTAACTTCAGGGACCTGGACTGCCTGGACTTCCTGTAAGTAAGCCAATTCACAAGCCATTTTTCTTCCTTATCCTCATTATTCCAAGTGAAATCCTGCGGTTTCACAAACAAGGTTTGAAAGACTAGTCCCAGACTAAATGACATGTTTGAGCTGTTTTGACCGAAAGCAACTTGCACTGACATCTTAAAATATCAGGATGCACACCAGTAATGGTTTTGTTTCTATGGAACGTTTATTAAAGCTATTTAAATGTCCTAATTAAATTAAAGCCTAATCCTGGCTTAATCTAAGTCCTATCTGTGGAACCAGGCCTTAGTGAATAAAATGTAGGGTGGGATCTTTGGAAGTTGGAGGGGTTGATTCATAAAAAATCACCATGAATGAGGAGATTACAAAAACATTTTTTTTAGGCTACTAGAATAACATGCACCGATGAATCATGCCCTATAAATATGCATATGCCAATTATACAGGAGCTTTGACTTTTGACCAGATGTTGAAAGTGATTTGTTTTTTCAACATTTTCTCACATGCAATTTCAGTGAGAATGATTTGTGCACTTTTACTGTTTGCTTGAAAACTATTGTGCATGCTCTAAAGGCTTTTGCAGTGCAAACCGTACAAAACCATACGAGATCTTGGCCCACAGAGGTTTCTTCTATGCTTATTATGTATTGGATTAATAAACAAGTGTCTAATTTCACTGTTCATTATCTCATTACAGGGAGCACCAGGCCCCATTGGACTTCCTGGACAAATTGGGTCTACTGGGCAAAAGGTAGGTCTTACATCTTCCTAATAACATGATAGTACATAAATCTTTCCTGTTTAAGAATGCTGTTCATTCTTAACCTTTGTTACTAGCTAAGACAACTGTTTTCGTTGTAGCATAAATAGTTTTAGTGGTAAAACATCACTCGGTAAACCCATTTAATTAAATGGATCACTGAACTGATGCATGCTTGCTCTCGCATCTCTCATCACAGGGTGTCTTGGGAAGTCCTGGACCTCCAGGATTACCCGGACCTTCAGGCAAGCCTGTAAGTCACAGTAATGTTTCATTTACTTCACTTTGAAATGTAGTCTTCTCAAGTGAAACCACAAAATCTAATTCTGTGTATAAAGCTGTAGGGCTGATAATAAATCAGTGTCAGAAGAGTGTAAAATGACATCTCATCTCATACTGCATTTCTGGGCGTACGTTTTATTTCATTTTCTACTCTATTTCATTTCATTTCTTGAAGGCATCCATTTGGGATCTGCTTCAGAACCTTTTCACTCCATGATAAATAAACTCTCCAAACATATTTATTTCTTCCAAGCCACCTGCATTTATATCTTCTTTCTCAATTTATTTATGTCATTGTCATTTTCAGGGTCCGCCAGGAAAGTTTTTGGGTTTAGAGGAAGGCAGCGCTGACTTCCAGGTAAGGTTGTGTCTGCAAACCATGATGTGCCACAACTTTTCCAGCAGTCTGAATTCCAAAGTAGATTCTCATTCATTATTTCCATAGACATAAAAAAACACAGGATTTAAAGAGCTTTAAGCCTCAAACAAAACCAGTCAGCTCCAAAATGAATAATAGCATCACAACAGTGGACTTTATGCAAAAAAGGTTCAAGTTTATAAGAGAATAAATGAACAGCCAATCATATAATCACAAAAGGAAACAATGATACTGTACAATATATAAAAAATTGGCTACACCGTGAAAAATAACTTCTTAATGCATTTTTTTGTTAGTCTTTTTGACTTGTTTTTCCAGTGAAAATTTCAAAAAATCCTCAATTTTCTTGACTTGTTTTCCAGTAAAAAATATCTAAAAAGCCTTTAGATAATACAATTAATTAAAGATAAATTAACAGTATTTATGAAGATGATAGGATGATAATATTCTTATATATTGTTTTTAATTTTTATAGATTTAAGAGAAAAAGAAAGGTTTTTATGCATAAACTAAAAAATACAATATATAAAAAGTTTGTTAAAAAATATATATATTTATATATAAAAGCTATTGTTGAGAATGTGGTTGCAGAGTTGATTGATTTCATTTGCTGTCATTCGCGGTGCTTTATTTGGAGGTCCTTGGGAAACCCTAGATTTATGGTATAGTGTAAAAGTAAAGCTAATTTACTTATATATTTGTTTAAAATCTATAAACAACAACTTGATACTATTTTCACAATTCTGTCATCAGACCTTATATTGAAAGATCCATATGTACTGTATATAATCCTTCACTATTCAGTCCTACGTCTTCCAAACTGCTCTTATTTCGCATATCTTTTTGGCTTTCTTATTTTTGTCCTCTCAGAATCTGCCCTTCTCTGTATTTATTCTCTCAGAGTTTGCCCTGTTATACGTTCCACACCCTTCATTGATCTCAGTGTTCATAGATGTTCCTAATGAGCTTCATTAAATGGGTGTCATCAAAGGCTCCTGCCCATTAGCACCTATCTGGATCCAGAATCCGAGCGGGTCCCAGGGCTGTGATCTGCAGCCAGCCTGCCAGGAGTCTGTTCAGCACTGGGGCTTGTGGGATCACGTGGCAGACTGGTTGACTGCTTCTCCTCCGGCCTAGAGCCCAGCTGGTGCCCTGTACTGTCTGGATCAATCCTTATTATCCATTTACTGCAATTAGAGGGCTGGTGATCTGAGATCTAGAAAAAATATCCGAGCCCTTGCTGCCCTTTTTCACTCAGCTGTGAGGGTTTGAGTTAAACAGATCTGACAGTGATTGTTTAGCCTGTGTGATTTAGTGTTGTTCTTTTTTAATCCAATGTTGCCAATGTGTGTTCTAGTGTCCAACCAACTGTCCACCTGGGCCGAAGGGTCCTCAGGGCCTACAGGGAGTGAAGGTTAGTAAGTTGGAATTTTATATTTTATATTTCTATTTTGTGAATAAAGTTCACCCCAAAAATTCAAATTCTGTCATCATTTACTCACCCTGAAGTTGTTCCAAACCTGTATGGATTTCTTTCTTCTGCTAAACATTTTGAAGAATATGGGTAATCAAGCAGTTTATGGGCCCCATTGACTTCCATAGTACTGGACAAAAAATACTGTAGAAGTCAATGGGGCCCATCAACTGTTTGGTTACTGACATTCTTCAAAATATCTTTTGTGTTCAGCAGAAGAAAGACATTCAGGTAAATGCATCAGAAATTTCTATTTTGGGTGATTTTCCCTTTAAGGGCATCGCAAGGGTCAAGCTCCAACCCACATGACTATAAAATAGCACAGCCTTGAGTGCTTTATTGCTTTTATATTCAGATTAAAATTTTATGTACATAAGGAAATTCACTAAGTGTCATCCTTCTGCTAGGACTGCAAAGTTGTTTTACATCATAGCTTTACTATACTTGTGCATGGAAGGATGTATTGACCCATCAGCATCTGGGACTGGAACTATTAATTTACTATGATATTTTACAAAGTGATATAATTTAATGGCTGATCCTGAAATTATTTTCTTCACAGGGACATAAAGGTCGAGTTGGCGTACTCGGAGATCCAGGAAGCATTGGAAAATTGGTAGGTTTTTCCTTCTGATGATCAGCTGAATCCTTGTTATAATATTAATATTAATAATATATATTTCATATATAGTTATATAATTTAATAATTTACTTTAATAATTAAACTATTTCATTATATATATTATTATTCATTATATATATATATATATAATTTAATAATTTAAATATTTTAATCATTTTAAATATTAAAAATATTATTATTCTTAAGAACAACAAAAATAATACTTTTTTTAGAAATATTAAATACATTATTTAATAATTAAAATATTTTATTAATTTTAAAATATAAAAAATATATTTTTATTAATTATACAGATACTATTTATAATTTATTCATTTAAATATTTAAGAATTTTAAATATTACAAATAGTATTATTATTATTAACAACAACAAAAATAATAACAAATATGTCTTTTAAATAAAAAAAATTAAATGTAAAATATTTGTAATCATTTAAAATGTAAATAAATTTGTATTATTATTATTATTATTATTATAATTATTAACAACAACAACAATAATGTAATAATTGGTAATAATAACATATTTTAACATATTTATTTAATAAAAAAATTATATTATTTTGAAAAAGTTATTTAAAGATTGGTTATGTTGATGACCTGACCTGTCTTCATACTTAAACATTATGATTGTTCTATTTTAGTAATAGTCACACAGGGAGGCCAATAGTGCGTACACTTTGCAACCACAAAGGGGAGCATGTGAGCACCCTCCGGATTCATAAAAAAGACAAATGGGACATAGCCCTTTCCAACTTTAAACTTCATAAACCTCATATCACACAATGTAGAACAACAAAAAATACTGATTGGTTGGTAGAGTAAAATAAATAATGTTTCTTATTATGCATCCAGATCATGCTTTGAAGGGTCCCAGTATCTCCCGCAAAACACATATCCAGCATGCAGAGCAGGATTATGAGCTAATGAAGCCCCTCAAGGCGTATAACTGCCTCTAATCTGGGTGTGACTCGCAGACAGAACACATTGACCCAGATGAAAGGAAATAGGGGGCCGGCAGGTACTGAGAAGATACTTGCCTGTGAATTAATCAGACTTAATGAGCCCCTCAAGGACATTAGAATGGACTACAGGGACAGAGTGGATTTGGCCGTAATTCAGAGCACGACTGTCTTTGGGAAGTGTTGAATTTAAAGTCGGCATGAAATGAAAGTTGTGACAGTCTTTTCTTCCCTATTGTGACGTATATTAGAGTGAAATGGCTTCTGGAATGAGCATTTCCTATCAAATTCAGGACACACATATCTGAAAATTAGTCATATATTTAAACAAATAACTTCAAAGTGACGAGCCACACAATATCCCAAAATAAAAGGCCATTTTTTTTCTTTCAAATGTAAATATGTGTTTCATCCTTGTGTTCTCCATCCTTAGGGTACAAAGGGTGATTTCGGCATCTCTGGTGAACAGGGAATACCAGGCCCTCCAGTAATGTATTTATTTAATTTAAGCCTATGTTGCTGTTACATGATTGCAAGTAATTTTAGCAGTACATTTTATGAAGGTCTTAAGATCACCTGTGAAATAAAATGTCTGCTTGTCTCTGCCACAATCACTTTAGGGCCCTCAGGGTCTGAGAGGATATCCGGGAATGGTGGGGCCCAAAGGCGAGACGGTGAGTCACAGTTCCCGAAATATTACTCGTTTTCTGTTTATGTCTACACTAAATATGATTTGGACTGGTCTGAGGAGATACAGGCCTACAAAAGGAGACATAGCAGATGGTGTCCATCAGTGTTGTTATTATTCCTAACTAAAACTATTTTTTTTCGTTAATAGAACTAACGCTTATGGAAGCTTGTTGGGGGAAAAAGTTAGCTCACAATAATTGTGAGATATAAACTGTGAGAAAATATCAGAATTATTACATTAAAAAGTTGCAATTACCTTTATTTTTTATTCAGTGATGGAAACAAGCTTCCATACAAGCTGGAATAAAATAAAATACAATTATTAAATGAAAGCTATATATCTATAACTAAGGGTGGGTGTTTTTGATCCATCAAATCTGTGGTTCATTTTATTTCACTGTCTTTGAGATGAGATGATAATTTTGCCAGGCGGTTTTAAATTTAGACATTATCATTTAAATAAGCTTATTATATTAAACATATAACTTATTGTGAATTAGCTTCCCCACTGAATTGTTCATCGGCTCGATTTGCATACATGGGTTTTATTATATTCTGAAAACACCCTGTGGAACGTAAACAAACATTGCACAACTTCAGTTATATTTGTAGGACAGCAAATCTCCACAGACTTTGTTTTACAATCTGTAAAAAACTTTAAAGTGAATTCACAACTTCTGTGACAGGGACCACGTGGTTACAAAGGCATTTCAGGACCAATCGGCATCCCTGGACGCCCGGTAAGTCGGAAAGTCTTGTGTTAATACATTTCATTCTCATAACTGACAAAAATACATTTAAATTATAAGCTTACTGTGCAATGCAGGGTGAAGAAGGACCCCAAGGACCACCTGGAGAGCCTGGTGACAAAGGTGACTTTGTAAGTATTAGTAATATTATTCACATCTATTCATCCAGGCATTCATTTATCATTCTACATGTTAAGTTAGCAAACTTTTCATCCATATATCTATTCATTCTTGTAGGGAGAACGTGGCATACGAGGGCCTCAGGGAGTGGTCGGAAAGAAGGGAGAGAATGTAAGTTAAAAGATGGTCAATTTAAATGCAATTTAAAACAGGTCCGCTAAACTTATGCTCTTAATCTTTTGATAAATGTTCCCTGTCAGGGTCTTCCAGGAATTGATGGAAAAGATGGTACTCCTGGCATCCCAGGAATAAAGGTATGGATGACTCTTTTTCAGCTCGTAAATCAATCCTCACAGCAGCCATCATTATTCAAGGAGACACATGACATATGTAAAAGATAATGCATAATGCAGTCAGAGTGAGCAAGTCTTGTTTCATCCAGTAGGGGGTTCTTTTTCCAATATATAATATCCAATATAAATGCAATATATATGTATATGTATATATATATATTGCACTTTCCTATCCCTTTTTTTAAGGGTGCTTCAGGACAAAATGGAAGACCTGGAGCTCCTGGTCACCAGGGAGATGCTGTAAGTAAATTTCATACTTCATTATCCTTTCCATATCATATACGCTGTAATTATCATCATTAAAGGTTCAAGGGAACTTTCCCCATCTTCCTCACACCTGTCTATTGTATTCCCTTGGTTAAATGAGGATCATTACATATAAAAAGTAAAAGTTTAGTGTATTTTCTGCCTACAGTAACATTCTTGCCCTCACTGTTTTGGAGCTTAAACCACCTTGAAATTGCTCTTGCTATTAACTATTCATCATCATCAAACATGACTCTCCTGGCGACTTGGGGTAATGGAGCATGCTGGTTATGATACAAAACATCACAACGTACCTGCGCAAGCCATAATACAGGCGCCCTCTCTAACAGGATGAGTTATTGCAGCCTTGTTCTGATATCAGCACAAAGTAAAGGACAGACATGGAGCTGTCTACGGAGGCCTGCAGGGGTCACTACATTCATCCTGCATGCTATTTTTCACATTTTGTAGGGTTTGCCTGGAATGCCTGGAGCCAAGGGTGAATTGGGAATTAAGGTGAGATTATGCAGTTTTTTTTGTAAATTCCTACAATTTCTGTTGTTGTTGTTGAACTATAAACTAGTTTTTGGTGTTCAGGATGTCAGTTGATACTACACTATCCACAGTGCTGAGAAGTAACAGATTATATGTAAACTGGATTAGATTCTAAAAATTAAGAACTTGTAATTCGATTATATTAATTAGAAAAATGCTATTAATCAGATTAAAGTGACTTTTTTATTGATTACATATTCAGTCAATTATTCATAAGTTATTGATTTTCCCAATTTTACATTTTGAACTCACAAACCCCTAATGCACAAATATTTTTGTAGAATGTAATGCATTTTCTTTCTCTTTGTATTTTGTATATCAATGTGATACAAAATAATCGGGTTCAAATGTGATACACAAAAAGTAATCCAAAAGTAATCAAATAGTAGTCAGATAAATTACCTAAACTGTAATCTAATGGATTATGTTACTAAATTTGTAATCTGTAACAGACTACAATTTGTAAGTAATCTACCCTGCACTGACTATCCACTAGTGCTCCATTCTATCTTTTCAACCATTTATTTGTTCTCTTTTGTGTTTAGGGTGAGACGGGACCTCGCGGTTTGATGGGAACGCAAGGCCCTCCAGGACCTCAAGTATGTCATATCATTCAAGGACATTGGTTTACAAAGAATCCAAAAGGTTTTTTTTTTTGTTGTTTTAGTTTTTTTGGCTTCTCATGATGTTTCTCTTTCTCTCAGGGAGAGCCTGGTCCTCCAGGTGAAGCTGGCATGGAGGGAGTCCCAGGGCCAAAGGTCAGTTTCCATCCTCATTGACAAATCCTTTCATTAACATTGAACAAAACGCTCTTTTCTTACCTTTTTATGTCTCGTCCGATAGGGTGACAGGGGTGAAAGAGGACCAGTTGGGCCTTCTGGTATTATTGGCCTGCCTGTAAGTTTCGTGATTTAATATTTTCCTTATTTTTCTGCTATAATCAGGGTTCCCAGGCTCATGGAAAACCTGTAAATAGTTTGAAGGATTTGTTCAAATAAATGCTAACACTTTACTTGAGGCCTTTATATAATGCATTATAAAAGTATTCATATATATATTTGTAATGCATTATATATTTTCATAAATGACTATAGCCAAAGTTAAAATATAATATTTTGCACTCGATTAAATGCTAATCAATTTACAACCTTTATATAATGTGTTTTTCTCGATTTTTTGGTTGATATTCTGTCTCTAGCCATTAAAATAAAAGATATTTTATAATTTATATCCATAAAAATTATAGACTCGTCATTTCTTTGTAAGTGGGCAAACTTAAAAAATCAGCATGGGGATCAAATAATTGTTTCCCCCACTGTACATTTATATATCTAAACTTCTTTTTTGAGTCTATAAAAAAAGAATCTTCATTCTATAATCAAAAGAAATTACAGTAATTGTTTATTTTTTTTGTCATTTTCACTTATCTTGTGTGTTTTACTTGCAGGGAAGTAAGGGAGAGAGGGGGCCCATGGGCGTCCCAGGTGGTCAGGGTTTAACTGGAACTAAGGGTGACAAGGTTTGTAACCATATGAACACAATAATTAAGAGTAAATGAACTGAGGTTATTTCAACTGGTACAGTGATGAGGTCTGACCACATGGGGGCAATCTTCACTCATGATTTGACTTTTCTAGTAGAGGACATCTATGCTCCAAATAATCCTCCTCAATTCAATATGAAATATCCTCTTATAGACACTTTAATGTCTGTTGTCCTTTAATCTACAATATCCTTGCCGTTTAATACACTGAATGATGGCGGTAAAAGCCAGTTGATTTAGTGTGCTCGGAGAGTTTACGGTAAAATAAGATATTACCAACAATAAATTGGTATCCATTAGAGCTGACACTGAGAGATATCTGATGTACAATTGCATCTACTTACAGGGATTTCAAGGCAAAGTGGGATCAAAGGGAGACGTTGTGAGTACACCCTCTGATAAATACATACACATATTTATGGAGTGAAATAGAAACCATACATCACAGTCCACATCACAAAAGATAACAACTTAAGGTGACATTGATGAATCTCACCTGCTTCTTTCACAGGGTAATCCTGGTGTAGAGGGATTGGCTGGGGAGAAAGGAGAGAAGGTAAAATAAGTCTTGTAGTCTGATACATTTATTTAATAGATTGGTTCCAGAAGACTTCTGTTCATCTTAAAATTGCATTTCTCCATTTAACAGGGACAATCTGGGGAGCCTGGCCCTAAGGGACAGGTAAGGACAGCATGAAGAACACCGATAATGCAAAGTGAAATGCGTAATTTAGTTAGATTCAGCTTTATTTGTTTGTTTTACAATAGGGCAGGACATGACAAACTATCTTGAAGGTGAATTGTGTCAGTTCTTTGTTTTGAAATACGTCATGCCGCCCCAGTTTTGTGAGTACTTTTACACAAGTCATCCTGACGTGTGTACTTTTGGCCCAAGCCGCCCAGCCAATGGCGTGAGTTAGGGGCGGGACTTCTCTTTTGTCCTATAAATGGAAGGAGGTAAATCTGACATGTTTATGGCAGTGTTGTTATTAACTAACTAAAACTAAAATGATGAAGAAAAAAAAGGGTAATTTACATAAAGATGAAATAAAATAAATATGAATATTAGATAGAAAACTTAAACTTAAAAAAAAAAAAACTAATTAAATTAGAAATGTTGTCTTGGAAACCAGACAAAATAAAAGTTGACAAAAACAAACGAATGAAAATGTCAATTTCATAAACAAACTAGAAGTAAAATACAAACTGGAAATATAAAATAAAAGCTAATTCTAAATATTAACCAATAATATAGTTGTATATAAATAATAATTAACATGGTTTATGGGACATTTTCAGGAAACCTGTTTGGAAGTGATCATATGATATTGCTCAGACCTATTATTATTCTTTTGCCCAAAATTACCAGACTAATGATGTTATCTTGGCAGACTGTAAGGCATGAAATTAATAAATAAAAATGATTTTTATTATCTGTTTTGTAATTGATATTTGCTTTGTAATTTATTAAGTTTTGCCAAATTAACCGATTCTTTTTTATAATCTGCCAATTTTCCACACAAAAAAGGCAAGTACCACTTGAAAATGTCAACATTATTTTGTACCACTAGTGGTGCAGAAGTGACACACTTCACCTTTAAGATAACGCTTTATTTAACTTTAGCATTTTCCTTGTACAATCAACAGTGAACATCCTAGTTTCTTTATTTTCTCAATGACTGCCGCCTCTATCAACAGCAAGGTGTGACTGGTGATCCAGGGCACAACGGTCCCACCGGAGATCCCGGGAAACCAGGAGACCAGGGTCCCGCAGGCTTACCTGGTCCACGTGGCCTGTCTGGAGAAAGAGGAGTTCCAGGGATGCCAGGAATACAAGGAACAACTGTGAGTGTTCAACAAAACCTCAAGAACAATTTCCATCACAGCTTTCCCAACCTACATTAACCAACAAACAATTCTGTTTACCAGAGAGCATTTATGCCTCAAATCTACTCAACTAAAGTATTGCTCTAGCCAGACAGGTTGCAGTAGAAACACTTGCAGACAATAATGAGAACTCTTGAAGTGAGGAAGATCGGGTTTCTCTTTCAATCTCTTAAAGGCACAGTGTGTAAGATTTTTGGATTAAAAAATCCCAAAACCACTAGAACAATGTTATATATTTTGTTGACTTGTGTACTAACATCATCCCAAATGTTTCCAACGTTTAATTTTTAACGGCCCGCGCCATTGCGTCGCCGACTCGCCTGTCAATGACGTCATGTCCACGTTACCCTCGGTTTCCGTAGAAACCATGGAAACACCAAAGATGCTTAAAATATATTATGTGTTTTATTAGACAGGTGAGCCACTGTTTTTGGATACATTTATCGACAGAAAACGAATAGCTTAACACGGTTAGTCTCATTGTTTGAATCTCTTGTTTTCTTGATTTACCGCGTTTGTACCATGCCTCAGAGACAACACTATTTTGTCAAGTGGCTAACATAGCAAAATCAGAAAGAGCTTTATTTGTAGTAACAGTAATACAGCATTTTCTCCACCATACAATATACTGTATTTTAAAATGAACTGCATGCCATTTAGCAACACAAGTCATCCAGCTTTGTAATATCGATCTAGCTTATACCACAATATCCTGCTTCATACCACAGTAATGTTAATAAAACTTTAATACATTAGCTACATGATTTCTGCCTGAGTTCCGTCGGCTGTGGAGGTGAAGACGACAACTCCCATGATTCCATGCTCACCCAGCCAGAAATGAAATCATTTACTCACCATCCATCAATGTTGTTCTGAATCCAAAAGGAGATGTTTAGCTTTCTAAGCTGCTCTTTTCCAAAAAAATAATAATAAAGAGCTGTGGTCACTATTTACTTTCATTATATGGAAAACATTTTTTCTAAATATCTCCTTTTGTGTTCCACAAAGTCAAACAGGTTTGTAATAAGGATAAAGGATGACAAAATGTTCATTTTTGGGTGTGCTATCCCATGAACAGTGTTTTTATCATTTTTATGACTTTGCTTTTCAGGGTCGTGATGCTACGGATCAACACATTATTGACGTGGTCCTAAAGATGCTTCAAGGTGAGAAACAATCATTGTTCTTTCCGTAAATGGCTGCAATCCAAATTGGCTGCAATCAGTGTGTCAGAAAGAGGGCAGCTGTAATCTATCCGGCTAAATCTACAGTACTCTTCATCCTTCAGAATGTATCAATGTGCAACTCATCACTCCTCAGGGACAGCTTTCCTGCCAAACACTATTTATCCGTTTCTCCAAATTGACTTCCACACAGTTCTGTTTTCTCTGGGATTGTCAGGCTATGCTCTCTGGCCTTCTATTTTGCAAGAGAGAGAGATGACCTGAAGTTGCCCGCGATAACCCTTTGTTGGCTCCCACCGTTTCACAACCTTGCGATTGCAAACATACCTCCGCTTATACAGCCACACACTCACGTGAAGCGAGAGGAAAGATTTCTCTTTCGTTCCCCACAGGGAATCAGATTAGATGTGGAGATTTGGTCAGTGTGACACCTTGAGAACTGGTACAACAGATGAACGTCCAGCTCTGGGTGGTTATCTTAATGATATTTACCCAATGTTGCACCCGGTGAGATGTGATTGTGTGCTAAGCGAAGGTTCGACACTATTTGCAGGGATTCTTTTCAGGGTTGAGCGCCTGAGTCTCCACACAGAACACATTTTTGCATTCCACTGTGCTACTCTATTGATTTTCTATGTAAATTTGGCTAGATGGATTTGACTGCTGCACATGAGACCGTGTTCTAAAAATGCAGCGCTCATGTTTAAAGATCTTTAGATCTTAGGTTTTTCCCTTTCTCTGGCCTGCATTTCACGTTTTTTGCATTCCACTGATTTGCTTTTCCATTTATTTTTGATTTAAATATGCATTAGATCAGGGGTTCTCAACTCTGGCTCTCAAGATCCACTTTCCTGCAGGGTTCAGTTCTAACCCTATCAAACACACCTGAACAAGCTAATCAAGGTCTTCAGGATCTCTAGAAACTACAGGCTTGATCAGGAATGGAGCTAAACTATTCAGGAAAGTTGGACTGCGTCTGAAAACACTGCAGAGTTTGCACACTAAAGCACCTCACGAAAAAACAAAATGTTCCGTTTTTTTAAAAATGTGTTTAAACACTGCACTTGCATCTCGCTCTTTTGCTGTCTTGCGTCTTTCGCAGTGTCACGTGCATGATATGCTGTTTTTAAAACACAGCACAAGTTAAAAATGTATTTATTTTTTAAATGTACCTCATGTTTTTGCACTTCACTTTTTGCATAGTTTTTTATTTAAACATGCTTTAGATCAGTGGTTCCCAATCCTGGTTCTGGAGTACCTTCAACTGCAGATTTTGTATGTCTCTTATGCCTGTTACAGATCATTATAAATCACACTGTACGACATGGATGTAATACACTTGGGTACGACGTGTACGTAGACTGTGCGATGATGGCACCTATTAAATCGTAGTCTACGACGCAAGTTAGTGTAGAAGAATAAAACTTCATTAGCATGAGCTAGTGGTAAACAAATAGAGCACGATGAATCACACTTTGGCAATTGTGGTGTTTACTGTATGTATGCTGAAAAAAAGAGGAGGAAGCGAAAGAGGAGAATATGGGGACAGTCTTGGCATGCCAGTTTTGCAAATGGAGCTTTAGGTAAGTAGGTTTAAGTTTTAGTGCCATTTCGTTGATCAATACGCCATTTCATGTTGCATGTTTATTGTTAGTTAGCAGACGACTAAGGATTCAGGCGGTGGAGATGAGATGCTTCTGCAGACTTCTTGGTATCTCCTACAGAGATCACATCACTAATGTAGAAGTGAAAGCCCGAATTGAGAGCGCCATTGGGTCATATGAAGACCTCCTATCTTCAGTAAAAAAACGCAAGCTAAACTGGTATGGGCACGTCACAAGATCACCAGGACTTTCCCACATAATATTACAAGGCACAGTACAGGGAAGTAGACGAAGAGGCAGGCAGAGGAAGAGATGGGAAGACAACATTAGAAAGTGGACAGGTCTAGAGCTGAGTGACACAGTGCGGAAAGCAGAGAACCGGGAGGAATGGAAGAAGTTGGTTGCCAAGTCTTCAGTGGTGCCCTCCAGTGGACTAACGTAGGGAATAGTGATTGAGGGTTTAGGGGGTGATTTCAGGATTATGCCCTTGATTAGCTGGTTCAGGCGCATTTAATAAGGGTTGGAGCTAACCTCTTCAGATCATTGGCCCTCCAGGAACTGAGTTTGACACCCCTGCTCTACACTTTTTTTTCATTCCACTACAGTGTCTCGTGTTCCTAAATGCAAAAAATACATGCTGCCTGAACTCATTTTACTTCTATTCTTCTGACAGAAAAGTTAGCGTTGGTAGCAGTGAGCGCTAAGAGAGCGGTACTTGGCGGAGCAGGCGTGATGGGACCTCCAGGTCCTCCAGGACCACCAGGATCTCCAGGACCTCAGGGTCCTCATGGACGGACAGGCGGCCGTGGCATTCCTGGCATGATCGGGGGCCCAGGCCAAATAGGAAACACTGGTCTTAAAGGTTCAAAAAAATCGTCTTAATGTAGATCTAGCTCGATAAAATTCCGTCAGTTAACCTAATAGCTGTATATATCATCCCCGTGTTTCTTTTTCTTGCAGGGAAGAGGGGTGCAAAGGGAGAAAGAGGAGATCTTGGACGCCCACACTCTGGCCAACCGGGACCACCTGGACTGCCAGGTAAGTTCAAACTACGCCCACCTTTAAAGTCCCCTGAAGGTGAGTTGGTTAATTAAGTGGCCCATCCTGCTCTCTCACAGGTCCTCCGGGTCTTGACGGCGTGGCACGCGATGGTAGGCCAGGCGAGCGAGGACCACAGGGTGCAGCGGGTGAGGCGGGCCACCCTGGAAAAGCTGGTCCTTCTGGTCTTCCTGGATTTTGTGAAGCAGCTGCATGTTTGGCAGCATCAGCCTACACTTCTCCCAGACTACAAGAGGCAGGAACAGTGAAGGGCCCATCCACTTAATTCAAGCCCTCTACTGGGACATAAGAACATCTGGGAGAGAGAGAAAGAGAGAGTTAGAAAGAAAGGGGAGAGAAGCATGGAAAGAGGGGCACACAGGCCTTCTCTTCATTGGACACATGGTGAGGGGGAGGGAACAGCCGTCGCCTGACATTGTGAATTATTTTTGTATGTGTTAGGATAGCATATGTATGAGTTGACATCTACGGAAAGGAAGTTTTAAGGTGGCAATGTTAGCCAATGCTGATCTGTCCCACCTCACAGTACAGAGAGAGGTGAGAACATTGCCAGTGACATCACCGATGACATCATCATCATCATGCCCCATGGACTAGAAGAGCTGTGAGAATGACATTCAAACAAAGGTGCTGTTTTTGTTACTAATATTTTTGTTTTATGCATCTGATCCAAATGATTTTTACAAGCCAGGAAATTCCCCTTTAATTGAACCAATAAAAGAGTATTTAAAGCTACTTTATTAATAGATTCATTTACCTTATGCTTCAGTAAACCGCTTCCCCTGCTCGAGTTGACACACCGTGATTGAATCCGAAATCGCCCCCAATACCCTCAAATAGGGCGCTATTTGAAGGGACATCCATTTGTAGTAGTGTCCAAAACGTAGTGGATGTTATTGAGTGCACTCATTCAATCCCACAATGCAGCGACATAACGAGTGTACATCCGATGTACGTTCAACAGCTGTCCGAATTCGCTCAAGTGAACCGTATTAGTGGACTAACGTAGGGAATAGTGAATAAGGGTTTAGGGGGCGATTTCGGATTCAGCCCATGTGTACTTTATGTCCCCGTTTGAGCCATGAAGCAACGCCTTTGATCTGTTCTTCTACGTGAGATGGTGACGCGCTCCCATTAACTTTATCCTTGATTCCATGCTGTAAATCTTTGTAAATGTGTTTTAATTTTGTATGGAAAGGATGGGTTTAGAATATTAAGCAGATCCAAAGTTAATGACTTTAATCAGCATTCAGGATCAAACTCCAAACATTGCTCTAACTGAATTGCAAACCTGTATGCCACTTCCAAGTTACTGTGTTATGTACTTAGAGAAGAACTGATTATCTTCATTAACAACTATTTATTGTTCTTCTTTTTTTTGGTTCGTCTGTAAACACTCAAGTTTTTTACTCTTTTTTTTTTTTTCTCCGTCTGGTTGTTCAGATTTACCCCCAATCAATAAAGAAGAACTTTTTGTAAAACTCAATGTTCTTCTGTATCGTGAACATCTGAGAGGAACAATGATTTTAACTTTCTTTAAACAATTTAAACGTTCTTTCTTCTGGATCTGACATCTTTTTTGTTGTAATAAAAGATATTCATTTTGATATGTAGCCTTGTTCATGATGAAAAGCGGCATGCATTGAATTCACATGAATGCTACGGTATCTATTCATCCAAAGCACTTGATCGTTGTTAGTTTAAGCAAAGGAAATGAGTTGATGTCATTTTTTGAAAAAAAAAAAAAAACATTAAACTGTCTCCATCCTTCTTGCTCAAGGATACGACAGCAGAAAATCTGTATTATTCCTTTATATCTTTTTATTACACAGCTCTGTGGAATACTTGATTCTGATTGGTCTGATATGTCTCCATCATCATGTCAATACTGTCTACCGCTCATCTGGATAACTAAAAACATACTTAACACCAATTTATAGAATAAATAGTGTAATAGTGTTCACACTAAAAATTACAATAGGAAAAGTCCACTTCAAATACTTGGATAATACACTGAAGTGTGGAATGGGAGGCTGGATGACCTGGATAACGTAATAAAATTCTTACACTAGACAGTAGAGTAACTAGTGCATTGTATACACTCACCCGTCACTTTATTAGGTACACTTTGCTAGATTTTGGTTCATATTGACAGGGCTGCCCATCCATGAAGCGAATCTCTCATTCCACCACATCCCAAAGCTGCTCAATTGGATTGAGATCTGGTGACTGTGGAGTTTAGTGAACTCATTGTCATGTTCAAGAAACTAGTTTGAGATGATTTGAGCTTTGTGACGGTGCGTTATCCTGCTGGAATTAGCCATCAGAAGAGAGCACACTGTGGTCATAAAGTGATGGACATGGTCAGCAACAACACTCAGGTAGGCTGTGGTGTTTAAACGATGCTCAATTGGTACTAAGGAGCCCAAAGTGTGCCAAGAAAATATGTGCTATACCATTACACCATTAGCAGCAGCCTGACCGTTGATACAAGGCAGGATGGATCCATACTTTTATGTGGATTATGCCAAATTCTGACTCTACCATCTGTTTGTTGCAGAAGAAATCAAGACACATCAGATCAGGCAACGTTTTTCCAATCTTCTATTGTCTAATTTGCATGAGCCCGTGTGAACTGTAGCCTCAGTTTGCTGTTCTCAGCTGACAGCAGTGGCACCGGTGTGATCTTCTTCTGCTGTTGCCCATGTGCTTTAAGGTTGGACGTGTTGTGTGTTCAGAGATGCTCTTCTGCAGACCTCGGTTGTAACGAGTGGTTATTTGAGTCACTGTCTGGCCATTCTCCTCTGACCTCTGGAATCAACAACGCATTTTCGCCCACAGAACAGCCACTCGCTTGAGATTTTCTCTTTTCCAGACCATTCTCTGTAAATCCTAGAGATGGTTGTGTGTGAAAATCCCAGTAGATCAGCAGTTTCTGAAATACTCAGACCAGCCTATCTGACAACAACAACCATGTCATGTTTAAAGTCACTTAAATCACCCTTTTTCCACATTCTGATGCTCAGTTTGAACTTCAGTAGATCGTCTTTACCATGTCTAGATGCCTAAATGAATTGCTGCCATGTAATTGGCTGATTAGATATTTGCGTTAACAAGCATGGTGTAAGTGCATAGACCTCGTGTTTCTCAAATCACATATTCTTGAAATCCTCGCCTCTTTAGTATAAGCAAACTTATTTCCACAAACTAGTTACCCTTGGGCCAACGTATTTCAAGACATGTCATTCATCCTTTGTGAATACAAAACAATAGGTTACTGTCGTAACCCCGGTTCTCTGAAACATCGAGTGGAGAGATCCACCTATGGGAAGGGCATCCGTACCTGACCTCTGCAGAAGCATCCAATTGCACCAAGTCTGGCTAACAGACAGAAGCGCGCAGCCAATGCCAGGTGAGGCCACACCCCCTTACCTACGGGCATATCACAGCTGGGCGCGCTGCTATTCCTCAGTCAGTATATTCGCTTCTCGTGCGGCAAGCGGGGCAAGGCTGGTGGATCTCTCCACTCGATGTTTCAGAGAACCGGGGTTACGACAGTAACCTATTGTTCTCTTTCATCATCTCGTTTCGAGATCCACCTATGGGAGAGACATGGACAGCTCCCCGATTGCCCAATACACTCACAGTGAGGTTCTGAAGGCCAGAGAAGGACGGTCACCTCAGAGAGGCGGTGCCTGACACGTCCCACAAACCTGACCCTGCAAGTTTTCCGCCACCCTAACTGCTGTGGACAAGCAGGGCATGAAACATGCATGAGACACATACATGATAATGGCCCCCGCACCACCAATGCACATAGCTAAACCCAAGAAGGAATGCGAATGCTTGGTGACAGGAATGAACATGGCCAGCCGGCCCATTCACTCCTCGTTGGTTAACCAAACGGGGCTGTGGGAAAGGGCTAAGAGGACCCTACCCCTAGGACCGAGTGTGCCACCGAAGTTCTGGTGACATCCAACCGGTAGTAACGCTCAAAGGTATGAGGAGAGGCCCAGCTGGCCGCGGAGCAGATGAACAAAGCCCAAGAGGCGGCTAAGCCCCTTGTGGAATGAGCTCTGATGCCCCTTGGGGCTGCACTCCCTTTGCTTCATAAGCCATAGTATAGCGTCCACAAGCCAATGTGAGAGGCATTGCTTTGAAATGGGACTCCCCTTGTGCAGGGGAGCCCTAGAAACAAAGAGCTGGTCGCTCTTGCGGAAAGCACTGGTCCTGGTCATTATGCTTGCAGAGCACGGACGGGACACAGAGCATTCAGCCCCTGATCCTCCGGGGAGGCAAAGGGTGGAGGGTGAAAAGCGGATAGCTCCAAAACCTCCGACGTGAACGCAGGGAAGCATTTCGGCATGAAGGCCGGGTTAGGCTTAAGGAAAACCTTATCTCCACTTAGGGAGAATTTGGCGCACGAGGGGTGAACCGAGAGTGCATGTAGCTCACTGACCCGTTTAGCAGATGCCAAGGCCGAGAGCAAAGCTGTCTTGAGGGACAGCAGCTTAAGGGAAATACTCCCCAGAGGCTCAAAAGGATACAGAGACCGCGCTTCCAGCACCATGGAGAGGTCCCACTCTGGGACAGATTCAACAGATCTCCTGATGACCAGCAAAGAGCGGCGTGCACCCTCCATAAATCTGCGGGTTAGAGGGTCCTGCCTGACGGTGGAGCCCCAAAACCCACATGACAGGGTGAAATCGCAGCCAGGTAGACCTTAATAGTGGAAAAGGACCTGCCTCTTTCCATGAGGTCTTGCAGGAAACACAAAATATCAGGCACCGAGCACTGATAAGATGTGAAACCACGCCCATCATACCACCCTTCGAACACTTGCCACTTACAGCCATATAGGGATCGCGCGGAAACGGCCCTGGCCTTCTGATTAGTGGCGATTACACGCGGCGGGAGCCCCAGTGCATTTTGGTTCGTCCTCTCACGGGCCAGGCCCAGAGAGCCACCCTGTCCGGGTGGGGGTGGTAAATCTCCCCGTTGGCTTGGGACAGTATGTCCGTGCGAGGGGGGAGGCGCCATGGCTCGGCGTATAACAGAGGGATTATCTCTGCCAGCCATGGGGCTTTGGGCCACCTGGGTGCTATTAGAGTGAGAGACAGGCCGTGCTCTCTCACCCTGGCCAGAGTGAAAATGATCAGGCACAGGGGAGGAAAAGCATACAACAGCACTTTGGGCCATGGGTGGGCCAGTGCGTCTGCCCCGAGGGGCGCGTCCATGTCCTTTAGCGAGAAGAACATGGGACAATGGTGATTTTCGCGCGAGGCGAAAAGATCTACGGCTGCCTGT